GTGAACGACAGCCACTGACCGACAAGAACAAAACCGACCTGGGAAACTTGGGCAAAAGCCTCGATCCTGTGTATCAATCCATGAATCCGTGAAAGGTCAGTGTACTAACAAAGCCGCAAGTAACCGCCGAAACCAGGAAACATTGGAGTAGTCAGAAGAAGCTAGTGAGTTAGGTGCACTTGCTAATGACAAACAGTCCACTATGTACCAGCAATCCTGTCCGATTTTGTCGTCGGAGCTACGGGAATCATCTGTTTGTAGCCCCAATAGTACTGACAACATAAAGAGGTAATTCTTGTACGCACGAATTGCTGCAAGATGATGGCTAACCAGAGAGTAATTGGGCACCTGAATTTCCCCGCTTCATTGACGATCGCCGTCGTATGTCGTGCAGCAATCTGTAGCCGATGAATTCTGCGGGGTCCTCATGTCATAGGTGTGGCGTTTTGTACCTTTATTTTGTTTCCATTATAACACTGCGTACTTCGTCAATTGCATAATCGTTTTTTGTCTCAGTACGAAAAACTACAAAAACGCGCACTTGTACAATTTCCCAGAGTACAAGAGTGGTCACGTGTTTCGACTCTCCTGATTTCGCTCGCGCTTGCAGCGGCCATTCGCGAATCTCATGTACTAACTCTGGTATCAAAGCATTTCAGACCATCCGTTGTATGTGGGAGCTGTCCAGAAGAACACCTCCGGACCAAGATAATTGGATTATTGTTTATTCACTGACCTGAGCCAACGATAAACTATTTTAAAGAGAACAATTGTTGGTGAGTCTGTTCTGTCTGAATTAGTTATTATTGTAAACCTAACCTAGCGACATTATTTTTATTTCTTTGCCACACACCCCTGGGAAACAAACTCATTGTGTAGCCAGACCACTACATAGGATATCTTCAGGAACCGCCAGAAGTGTTGGCCTGCTGTTTAGAATAAGTGATGGATGATTGGGCTTTGTTGTGGGGGATGGTATGCCTTCGGTTCTGGAAAAGTCTTGTGAGTCCCGACGAGTGCTTGACATATGCATCGCCAGATGGCGGCTGATATCACCGTTTCAATGCATCCCAGGTGTCATAAATGTTGATGAAGCGTGCGTGGCTAACTGGCTTGGGTGAGCCCTTTTAATCCAAGTATTGTGCGGCCCGTAGATACAAGATCCACGCCTTCTTGGCATGGGTACCGGATACCCGGCGACGTTTGCCTTTGTGGTAATTGAGCGTTTTGATCCGATGTGTGAGCCATTCAGCTTCTTCAATGTTGCAATTTGACAGAACGAAAGCGGAATGGGTTAAGTTTGGCTGCAGCGTTGTGTTGTGCTATTCCTATGCTGGTATAGCCACGGGAAGCACTCGTGGTAACAAAGTTATACTTACTGTTGCAATCAACTATGTACACCTTTGGTGGTAAATTCACGTTTCCCTTCCACCTGGGATTGTGGGTTCCTTGTAGGAATTTGCGTTTGGTAATCAGGGATCAGTCCATTCGGAGCAGTATGAGGCAGTCCTCATAGATGTTTTCCAAGGTTGATTCTCCATCAAGCGACAGTGGTTACCTGGAGCAGTGGACATCCGTTGCACTGTTCGTAGACCACTGTCATCACCTTACGGTGGCCCGAGCAAACAACTAAGCATGATTTGGATAAAATTCACCTGCTTGAACCGAGGAAAGCCACAAACGTTAGCAGGCGTTGGATTGTTCAGGGGCAAGTCTTGCTGCACCGAGACTCAGCAACCATGACGGATGACCTGCAGTCGGCGGTCGGGGTTAGTGGTCCCCAACCCAGATGCTCATCTCAGAACACACACTTTGGCCTTTGTGTGCCATGTGAACTGCCGGCTGGTCGCGATGGCCACTGGCGTCCATTGGATTACTCGTCGCATCGACTGTTGTGACAGTGAATTATGCCGACAATGTTGTGAGGATCTTCAGGCGTGTCCCTAAAGGTAATGCGCAAATGACTAATCGTTGTTACTGCTCGACCTCCGGCACCTAAGAAAGCACCAAGGTTGGGTTGCCTAACGGCCCACTAAGCAGATTTGTTGTGATATTAACTTGAACCAAAGCACAAAACCCCAGAAACATTTCCTGGATGTGTACATTCCTATTTCAGGCTACCGAAAAGACCAAATCGAGAGCGGTGAATTTTATAGCATAAAACTAGTATCAATGTGCCCGAGAGTCACTTTGAGGAAACACGAGGATGACTTTGTCCGAAGCGTGGAAACTTGTACCGATCGCCGGCCCTTCGAAAGGAATCTACCAACATATCGCAGATCTGTCGATGTGGCAGCCCAGTCGCGCCCTTGTTGTAGTGGAGTGACGGAAAATTTTACCCCGATAGTATATAAATTCATTCGGTTCGAGCTCCCCTTTTGATCAGTTTTCATTCGGCTCGTCTTTTACTAGGGCATCGTGCATATAATGTAAATGTCGCAATTCTTGAGGCCGGCATACATCAATGCAAAACCGGAATGCTCACAGGAGTGCCCGCCGCATGGAGCATTGCTATGACGTTATCAGCCAGCTGTCCGATAGCGATATTTCGATAAAATCACTCTTGACTTTTTTTATTTTAGGAGGCCGATAGCGCACAGAACAGAGCGCACAAGGAAAGCATTGCCTTTACTGCCAGGACATACAATCATTAAATGGCCCAACCAAACTTGACTTTCCATCCCGTTTAAGCTGGACCATTGACGGTCGGACCAGTCGACATGAATGGACGCTTGTTAGTTATTTAAGTGAACTAGCTTCGTTCGGCTGTTCGATGTGATCTGTTCGGGTTGTATTTCGCCAGCTAGTTGCGCGTCGTTGGTCATGTATGTCAACCAAGTTCTTATTACTGTATTGTACAAGCAACGACGGTGCCGTTGATGATTTTTAACTGAGTTGCAGTGTTGCGAACGATTTCATGTGGGTTTAAACGTCAGCGTTGTGATCAGCAGCTCACCATTTATTATGGAAAGCTCTGCTGCCTCAAGGAGAACGCGGATGGCCTGTTTCTGCGACGATGTCTCATATAAATAAACAGTTTTCTTCGAGCGAGGTCCAGAATGGGGGCTTGTTTTCGTATTTTCCATTGGCGGATTTCCGATTTACAGCGGTTCCGCATTTTACGAAGTGCCAGCTCATCTTCTGTACCCCCTGTAGCCAACATTTTGATAAAGAGTTAGGATCTTTTTCCAGAAGTCGCCGAATCCTTTTTGGCATCCTGCGGTTCACCCGAGTGCGTGCCGGTTTATTTTGGGACAAAAGTCGCGTCAGCTGCGTGAACTATCTGGACAATGTGATGTGTATCGAAATCGGGTACGATCAACGGATATACGCGACCCGAGTACGAGC